ATATATATGTATAACATAATATACGCAGTATACAAAGATCGGTATTCAGAATCGTCTCTCATCGGCCGAAGTACAATTAATTTCATTGTATGATTGAATTCAGTAATAGATAAAAATATATGTGTGTGTGTATATATATATATATATATATATGCAGCTCGGTATATCAATAAATACGTTATGATGTAGCGTAGAGAACGAGTTCTGAATACAGAGACCGTCGGGATATATTTAAAAAATAAAATACAAGAACGCATAAGTAACAAATCTTACGAAGAAGAGGGGGGACAGTGTTTCAGAAAGAAAGAAAAAAAAAATGAGAAAGAGAGAAGGCACAGGAGATGATCCAACATTATGTCGCAAGGATATACCGTTCTTCTGTGAAGTATGCATTCGTATTGAGTCTATGATTCCATCCTCTAACGACACGAGTACTACATACATATCCGTCTAGTGAAAGATGTAAGGTCGATGACCGGTTTAAATAGTTGTCGGAGATCGTTGCATGCACGACGATAAACATATACGATGATAGACATATATGATGAATGCCAGAGCGTTATGTACTCGATGATGTTCAATCTTGAGGTAAATCTTGCATCATTCTCTTTCCGATGCTACCTTCGCCTCTCGCCTTTCTGAGTCTTCCTCTTCTCCTTCTTCTCTTCTTTCAATTGCTTCTGTTTCTCTCTGAAAAACGCAAAGTCCATACTTATAGACGATTGTATTATTTCATGCATCAAACGATAGATACCTTCCATTTAGCGACACAAGCATCAACCTATCTTTGTTACTCATTGAGTATGAAACAAAAACAAAATGATGCTCGTGTGTCAACTTGAGTCACCGAAATGGAAAGCCACCGATGTATCCTTGCCACGATTCTACCTGTCCTCTTTGTCCTTCTCTTTCTTCTTCTGGCTCTCGAGTTTGGCCTTTTCTCTCTTTTCCCTCTCCTGCTGTATGATGGTCGCTGCATTCAAGTTCTTCTCGATCCCACAGTCGCCGCCTCCGCCGTCCTCTTCTCCGTCCCCTTCGCTGTTCTCCTCATCGGACATTTGACTGTATTGCGCTAAAATAGCCTCACGAATTCGTTTCTCCTCCTCGGTGTAACTTCTCTGCGTTGTCGTGGGTAGGCTCTGCGACTCGAGCATTCGTGCCAGTCGAACATCGACGTCCTCCGTCGGCACGGTCGCCGCGGCTACGTCCTCCGACGGCAGCCATTCCGCCCACGCGTTCAAGATCTCCGTCACATGCTTGCTGATATTGTCCTCCTGCAACGTAACCAGGCTTCGTCACACGGAGAGCACTACACGGCTCCGAGCGAGCAAATGGAAACAATGATACACGTTTTCGGAGCAAATGGATCATTGCCATCGGACGGTGACGAAACACATCCTCGTGGATATCATCGAGATTGCATGTTATGTCAATTTACGCAACCTTTCGATCGAAACGTCCTTCGTTCTTCAATGAGTCTCGATTAGTAACGGTATAACATGACGGTAGTAATAACACAGTAGGTGACAGTTACGTCATACGTAAACGCCCGGAGGATCGTCCGGGGATACGCTCGTGCGAACGACGAAGATCGCCGGAGCGCACGGAAGGCAGAAACGCGTACTTTACGAGCTACCTCACGTCTATTTTCGACCGGCGCCGCGGCGGCCGCGCGCATTCTAACCTCAACGCAGCTCGGGAGGGAGCGCGTGCCGACTACTCACCGTAATGCCCGCGAGTATGCTCTCGAGCGCCTCGGCCTTCTCGTCCTCGGACTCGTCGCCCTCGAGGATACCCCTGATGTACGTACCGAAGACGCTCTCGTCCGTATTGAGAGCCCGGAGCCTCTCACTGAGCCAAGCGTCGAAGGAACTCGCCGCGACCGCCATGTTTTTTTCGGCTTTTTGGAATCCTCCGGTGCACTTCCTTCGCGCGCCCGACTAAAGATAGAAGAAGTGGAGAGAAGTGTCCCGCCCCGGCCGCGCGCAAATCGTCACATTTTGATAGCTGGTGTCCAAGTGATCGGCGAGTAACTCGCGGTCGCTCTCAGTCACACCTCGTTGGAGGATCGTCGCGCGTCCCGGCAGCTCGATGCTTCGCTCGCGCTCTCCTCGCGACGGCTCGCGTGAGCTATATATCGCGCGCCGATCTATACAGACGATATCAATATCCGCGCACAGCGGCCGGATACATATGATATCGAGCATGTCGAGAAACTGTTATCGAGACTGTCAATCTTGATCGTACCGCCTTGTGACGTGTCCGTCGAATTCTATTGCATCATATCGCATTATGTTGTATTATATTGTATTACATTGTATTTTATTGCATATCATGTTTGTGTAAAAATGAAATAGAATTATCATTCATTCTCGCTGGAAGAATTCGAATATTGGAATATGTTGTATCTTTATACTTCGTTTTAAACTTCTATCCTCTTCAATCCTCTCTCTCTCTCTCTCTCTCTCTCGCTTCCTGTAAAAATCCGTCCAGTTTGAAAAATGAAAAATTTTTGTCTGACTTGTCGGTGACTTACATTATATTATTATAAAAAGTATCAAACGTTTGATTTATTGATTTGCGCTACTTGTTCGAAGAAAAGATTTTTCCGATGTAAATAAAAAAATTTTCATTTAAGTAGTACAAATCAACGACAAGCCATCGCCGAAAAAAATATTTTGAACAGAAGTATGAATCAAAGACAAGCCAGACGTCGAGTCTCCCGTAGCAAGTAGTATAAGTCAACGACAAATCAGACAGTCGAAATATTTTCTAGATCGAATGGTTCTTTATAGGAGAAGATTCAAGTAAAAGAGCTTAAATAAAATATATATAATTACTATCATATTTTAATATTATATACATTTTTTTCACATACATACGTAATATGTGTATGATAATATAACATGAGACAAAGCGCAATATAATATAATATAATACAATATTTATACAATATAACATTAGATACCTTAATTTTTTACTGTTATATAAGAAATACGAGAAAAATAAACGTAGTTTGGAGGAAAGTGATCACCTGATTTCAAAAATGGCGCGTCTCGAGCTGTCGTGCAACACGATTGCGCGAGCAGCAACCCGCTGATCGCAGCGGCCCTTGGCGGCTCCCTGTGACGTAGTATAGGTGCTTTCCGTGACCACGATCTCTTGTCCCGTTCATCACGAGCGGTTCCCATAAAGATGAATGTGATCGCGAAATCGACGACCATCTCGCCGTTCTTGCGGGTGACGGCGACGGTCGTCTCGAACGGCAGCCTGCCAGTCGCCGCGACCGGTAAAGTTCAGAAACCAAAGGTTCCCGTTCCGCCTACCGTCATACGGATTCTCAGCCAGAGTCTCTATCAAGATCTCCTTACCGGACCTACACGCATAAGCTCGGGAGTCGCAGGTGCGTCTGTACTGATAAACAGTCCGTTTTACGAGGACAAGCTTCATGTACATTTGTATTCCCCGTCAGTAAATCCAGCTAATTCGCGTTTTGCGGTTATATAATCGTTTCGTACAGTTGCGTTTCTAGCAGGTCGCTATTAAACGAGCTTATGTTTGTGACATTGTTCCGAAATAGAGAAGTAGAGCGTATAAGCAAATAGAACATAATAATTTAGTTAATATGAATATAACAGCATCGAGTCTCTAACATACATCGCATTAACATATTCATTGTCAGTGTCACACGTATGTCACGGACTGATCTTTCACTAGAAATCAATGTCACACATGTGTGACACGTTATATAAAATGCTCAATTTGTCTATTTAATATATTCTGTGTGTGCATAAGTATAATGAGTACAAACATGTACTATATTGAATACAGCTATTGAAAATATAGTCATATAATATAGGCTCTGATGAGTGTTTTGCCATTCAAGCGCAGTAGTGAACGTGTTGATATACTGAAACTCAAACCTAGCTATGTAAATGCCTCAACATTGCAATTAGGCCTACTTGTACAATTTTCAATTTTGTACGTTGTATATAAACCTGTTGAATGTTGTAGGGAACTTTAATAAATAAATGTCAAAACATTTATACAGCTCAATGTACAACTGTACAAAAGATCCTGATGGATTCTGTCGAATTGAACCATCAAACAGAATGATGACATAATGTGGATTCCCTGTTTTTGCAGTCAGCACGCAGGTACACCAGCGACGATTTGCACATACCGACATCCAGTTTCCAGATTTAACGGAATATCGCAAGGATGTAATAAAAGATTCGAATGTAAAGTCAAGCGAGACCGCAGCATCCCGGAAGAGTTTCACATATCTCATATCAGCTGGCGAGTATACGACAGAGTCAAAGGTTGCACACTGCAACATGAAATAATAATCTAATTGGTTTTTTTTTCTTAATTGCGCATATTCAGGCGGTTGCGTGGCAACTGCGTACGCCGCAAAGGTGCTAATATTAGACATCGTCGGTGTGATGAGCGCGACAGCTGATGTACTTGCCTCGTCAAAGATTGAAGTCAAGCTTGACTCGATTCCTGAAGGGAAGAGCGCTGTCTTCAAGTGGCGCGGAAAGCCTATATTCGTGCGACACAGGTGATCATGGCTACCCTTTTCCACCTAGTCACAATATTTCTTACGATTCTATCTATTTAGATTATCTCATACTCGCGCTGTCGCGACTTCAATTTGCCTTGAAGCTTTTGGATACTCGCTATGGCTGTTACATGTAACTTACGTTTTCAGCCTACTTTTCTCATGATTTCCGTTACGCTAAATTTATGGCTATTTATAACAATTAATAAACAATTTTGTTAAAAAAAAAAAGCGTCCGGACATTTTTACGAGTATGCGATCACGAGTGTTATTTTGTGATATATTCTTTTATTTCTGTATATACCGTCGCATATACTGGCATGATTTTCCTCGCTTCTGACGTTGTCAAAGAAGGACAGCCATAATGAGTATCCAGGAGTTTTAATAATTCGTTACGACGAGGAAGGAATATGTTCGGAGACAGTAATTGGGGCGCGTTTCTCCCAATAACTCGCAGAGGAGCAACAGAGATCGAAACCGAAGCCAAGGTGGACGTTGCGAGTCTCCGTGACCCGGAAGAAGACAGCGTGCGCGTGAAGGATCCCAAATGGCTGGTCGTACTGGGTGTGTGCACGCATCTGGGATGCGTACCTATCGCGAACTCAGGAGACTTCGGCGGTTATTACTGCCCATGTCACGGTTCCCACTACGACGCCAGCGGCAGGATCAGGAAAGGACCCGCGCCGCTGAACCTCGAAGTACCACCCTACGAAATCACGGCAGGCAATATACTCGTCGTCGGTTAAAGACTGTCCGATATCTGTAGTCAAATAATAAATGTTATTTATGACAAGACGCTCCGCTGTGCGCACAGCGCAAGACCTGCTGTTACCGACGAGGAGGATACGGAAGGGAGCGTATTTTGTATTATATATCTATCTCGAGAGAGAGACGTTCGGACGTCGATTGGACCTTAAATGGCCGATATAACGCACGAGAGCTGCTGTATCGAATTTAAAATAAATATACTACCGTTAAGTAAGAAACATTTACGGAGCACCGTCTTATATCTCACTCGCGCGTTATGATTCGTATACGAAAAACCAAACATGGGGAACAAACAGCTTTTTAGACAGCTGACGATCTTGTGAACGTGATTCTCCAAGTTAAGAGTATCATTTTTGATATTGGTTTTTGACCGTGGTTGTCTGATGTGATTTCTGAGGAGAGATAGAATGTAGCTCGAAAGATCGTACGACGCGAAACATCCAGGTGAATGTTTTCGTCTACATGCGTTCATCGATGCAGGCCATACATCAGATATGATTAATCGCGTTTAGTAGAACATTTATTTTACGACCGTTGGAAGTTTTCTGTACAGAGATTGGATTATTCCTCCGGATCTAAAAGAATAATCCAATATCAGTTCAGAAAATTTCCAGTTACAAAATAAACATTCTGCTGAACACGGCCATTATATCGTTATGTTCACAATAGTTGAAAAACTGCTTCGCATCGCAAAAATGCTCCATATTGCAAGTTTTGCACGCCGTATTCCCTAGACGAAGACGCTACTTTTATGTGTACATGTGAAAAACTAAAGATCGTATAATAGTAAAAAGTTTCCGGTAAGAAATTTCTTATATATACAATTATACATAGGATGTGTCCATATATTAAAAAAAAAAATATATATATATATAATATATATATAAAATATATTAGAAAAAAATATATATATATATTTATATATGGACACATTCTATGTATAATTGTATATATGAGAAATTTCTTATCAGAAACTTTTTACTATTATACGATCTTTAGTTTTTCACATGACATATAAAAGTAGCGTCTTCGTCTAGGGAATATGACGTGCAAAACTTGCAATTTGGAGCATCTTTGCGATGCGAAACAGTTTTTCAACTATTGTGAACACAACGATATAATGGCTGTGTTCAGCAGAACGTTTATTTTGTAACTGGAAGTTTTCTGAACTGATATTGGATTATTCTTTTAGATCAATCAACTGTATGCCACTTCAAATATAGTATTTTTTGTATATGGACATATTCTACATAGAAAGTTTCTCCCTAGACTTTCAATCTAGGAAATGGTACAGCATACAAGCCGTACTTCGAGTCACAATTGGTCTGTTCTTCATAGCCGCACTGCTGAACTGGTGCAATAAACTGAAGCGAGAAAACGTACGCTTATCTCGCTTCAATTTATTGCACTGGTTGCAGCGGTGCAGTTATAGAGAACAGACCAGATCACTCGATCGCAGCCACCGCGCCACCCGGAAGAAGTCCCGCGCGAATCGCACCCCCTCGTGCGGTTACACGTCGCGCGGGCTTCGCCGGGAGCAAGGGTTGCGGGGATGTCGATGCGCCCGCGAGGGGGCGCCAGCGTATCGCGGGGCCGAAACGTTCGTGTCGCGCGGTGCGGCGCGAGGGCCGGGTGTCGCGAGACCGACAATCGTCATCGTGCCGCTTCGACGATCGCTGCGATCGGTTTTCCCTCAGTCGCCCTCGCTGCTGGCAGCGTAAGGACTCGAGAGAGAAAGAGAGAGAGGAGAAAGAGAGACCGCGGGGCGCGCGACACTACCTGACTAACGCGCGCTGGTGTTTGTTTACGTCGACCGGCCGGCCGGCGCGCGACTCTTGTCGAGATTCTGTCTCCTTCTCTCGTTATCCACGCGCAATTCGCATACTCGGGTTACTCGCGTATCGGAAAGAAAGAAAGGGAAAAGGGGGGGGGAGAGAAAGAGAGAGAGAGAGAGAGAGAGAGAGAAGGAAAGACGCGTGCGCTCGCAGCACAAACGCGTAGTATATTACGTACATGTATACACGCGCGCGCGCACCTTAACCCCCTCGCCGACCAGCTGACACACTCTCTCTCTTTCCCTCCCTCCCTCTTTCTCTCTTCTCCGTCACCGTCTCTCTCCTCCCGGAACTGACACTTTGGAACTGCCGCCGGCGACGCATTGCGCCGACGATGTACCGGCCGGTCGCGCGCCGTCAGCGAGCCGCGCCGCTCCGTCGGAAGGGTTGAAAAGGATCGAGGATCGTCGCCGTGTGAGGAGGTAGAGCGCGGAGCACGCGCAGGAGCCACGCGTGTGTCCGGTTATCGGTGAGTACCCCAGAGTGCGTTATCATCATGCGTTTATTTCGTCGACGAAATTTTGCACGGACGAAGGATCGCTGCTCTCCGCGTCACCTATGTCTCTTTCTTTCTTTCTCTCTCTCTCTCTCTCTCTTTCTGTGTGTGTTTTCGCGACCGCCGGAAGAATAATTGCTCTCGCTGGCGACGAGAAGAACGGAAAAGATCGTCGAGAACGAATTGGTTTTTTTCGTGCCGGTATCGTGCGGGCGATCGCTCGAATCGCAGCTTCTCGATAGAAGAAGCGCATTCGTGGGCGAGATGCGAGTAGCGATCTCGCCCGCAAATTCGCGCCTCGGATCTCCGGAGAGACGATCTGCTCGAGGCGATGGGTCGGAATAAAAATACGGATACAAATTAGAGAATCACACTTTGATCTTGAATTAGATAATTTTCACCTCGTTCGAATCGCGTGGTTTGTCTAACAATTATATCGTCGCGAGCGAGACGGAATAATCGAAGGCGTTCAGGCAATGCAGAGCAAGGTCGACCTTGAGTGAGTTGTCTCGCGGTGACGTGCCGGGCGTTTCACTCGCGATGGAATAATTTTTCAACAAAAGCAACGAGTGAAAGTCGAGATGTACCTGCGATTCGCCTCTTCGGGGGTTTCACTTCCCACATCGTTCCATTTCACCTGCGCGATTCGGCTCTGGTGTACCGCGGTCGCGGGGACCGATCATTTGTTTCTGAACGTTGACAGGTACATAATGATAATCTGAAAGAGTTATTAGCTCGCAAAAGAAGGCGTCGCCATGTTTAACTGTTGATCAACGTATTGAATTTTTCTCGTAGACGTTCCATCAGCCAGTGATATATCCCGAAGGGTAATTAATCCGTCATTGAAACGCAGTGTGAAACGCGATCGCATATATTCCTCCCGAACAAGAACGTCACCGGACGTTGCCGAATATTTTTCTCGCCGAGTCCGACGGCAATAAGTTTTCAAGCGAGGAGAAAGACGCGCACACACGGGGGGGGCTTCATTCCGAATTCAATTTGACGCGGCGCGATCCGCGCGCGCGGCGAGCCGTTGCTCCAGTTTTTGCGGAGTTTCCACGGCGTTGGTATAAACTTTTCAGCTCTCGTCCCAGTAAGCGAGAAGTCGTTTTTTGCCAGCCGAAGAACCCGGTTCCTCTCGGGTGCTCCGCCGGTGTTGATATCGCATTCTCCTTCGTGGCATTCCGCGAGAGTTTCGAAAGCCGGTACACACGAGCGTTGCGTCGATAACAATAACATTAATCGCGAGAACGCGAACGACAATTGGCAGCCGAGAAGGCGCTCGTCTGCGTTTGCCCGCGTGATATATTCTTATTCGTAAAATTTCGCCGCGAAATTCACTGCATTATTATTTCATCTACGTTATACGCTGAGAGAGAGAGAGAGAGAGAGAATTTGCGTTTATTATCTTTGAATGTTGCATCGTAGATGTATATTTATGTATATATCTGTATATATTCGACGAAAATGATAAAATTCTGCGCAACCGTCGGAAAATAATCGACACTTGAGAACGATAATGTGATAAGAAGGGGCGATGAATTCCAGTCGAAAAAGGACACTGATGTCAAACATCCGATCGAATGTACCGCGAACACACACATCCGGTGGTGCAATTGTTTTAAAACCTTAATCTTTCTCTCTGCGCGTATTTAAACGAAATTTTTTCTATGTACAATTTCCGTCGAAGATTCATTTTTTTTGAATTCCATTGGCGAGAAGGAAGGTTCGTCGGTACGAGACGCTGAAATTCAAAGTGGGAACGGTTCGCGACTCACGCACGATTGTACATCATGTATTTCGAATAATAGTAAATGTCCTGGGTCGGACATGATCGTTCAACGAGCTTCACCGGATTGTATCTGTACTTAGCACCTTGTCCCTCGTTTGGTAACAGAGAGCATCGGCGAGAGCTCGCCGACGTGTGTTTGTCTGCATGTTCGCGTGGTCACTGGCACGATAATTTCGCGTACGTTCGAATTAAGGCTTTGCATCTCTCGGTTCTAACGGTTCTGGTAACAACACAGGTATCCTATTCCCGTGATCTCTCTCACAGCCACTGACCTTTCGCCTGCCAATTATGTAAACAAAGGTTTTCAACGCGAAGTACCACGTTGTTTGCATGACGTACGACAACGATCGCGCGAATGCATACGTGAGATTCGTGCGGATAAACAGGTCATCTCGACCTCGATTAGTCAACGTGTCGGTAATTGGTATATTTCTACGCGCCGATACGAGAAAAGATCGTCTTCGATATTACCAGATATAATTTTATCCGTTGTGTATCGCGTATCGATGTCGCCTTATGTGTTTTCTTCTGGGAATGACAGCTCGATAGAAAAAAAAAAATATTAGCATAATGAACTTTAAATTCGATGAGATTAAATACGGAGAGAGAAGGAGAGCGAAGGAGACAGATGGATCGATAGATAAAGGGAAGAAGAGGGCTGTGTGAAAATGTGGAAAATTATATTAAATATATATTATCATTATATCAAGTATACATTAGTGAAGTATATATATATATATATATGGATATAGGAGACACGCGAGGGAGTGAGGAAATACGACGCGCGCTGCCGTCGCTTTCTACTATCTCTGCATTCGCGCGTCCTAATATTTCGCCGTCGATCGATCATCCGATACGACGACCGAGGAGATCCTTTTCGGTCGCCCTCGGCTCTCGCCCCTTGCAACCTTTTTCTTCTTCTTCTGGCCGTGACTGTACCCGTTGTTCGCAAAGACGATCGTTACCCTGGAGCCGGGGAGAGAGATCTCCAAGAAAGTTGCAAGTGCAAAGGTGCTCGGGAGTGGAGCGGACGCGAGTTGCAATGCAAATAGCCCGGCATTCTAATTCTTATGCGTCAGCGAACGAGAAAACGCGGCGGGAGAAGAGTGGAGAGGAGAGAGAGAGAGAAAGAAAGAGAGGAAGAGAGTGTGCGTGCGGCGTACGCGCGCGCGCGGAAGGGAGCTGTCTCTCCTCCGGAGCAGGATCCAGTTCCCTTTTTCTCTCTCTTCTCCTCCTCCTCCTCGCCGTTGCCTCCGACGGCGCAGGACGAGACTCTCTCTCATGCTGCTTTGTGCCCTGCATCCACCGAGAGCGCACTCGGTTCTCTCCGTCGCGCCCGCGCGTGTACGCGCACGCGAAATTGCGTGTGCCGTTCAACGAAAGAAAGAGAGAGAGAAAGACAGCGGGAGCCCGCCGCACCACGCGGGCCTTCACGCTGGAGGAGAATCAATAGATGTGCGTTGCATCTTGCCTCTCCTCCTCGCCTCCCCCCTCGCGAACCCCCTCCCTTCGTTTTCGGCTGCCACCGCGCGCACCCTTCTGCTACTGACTCCGACCTTCGCACGCGGGCGCCGTGTACTTCGCGAGCCAGAATCCTGGCATGCGAATCACTTTCGGGGAGCGTCTCACGGGGCTGATCTACGTTCGAACGACGTAAGAGAACGTGGGAGTGCCCAGGAGCGCACGCAAAGTCGATCGATGTGGCCGGGGGAGATCCGGGTTACGAGCACGATGCACTCTCGTCGTGAGAGACCGCGCGTAATTGCTCGCGACTTAACTCGTTTGACGCGGAAATGAAATCGGCCGGAAGTGACGATCCTCCGGAATGATTCCCGGCCGAGATCCAGGCGAGGTCCTTCCTAATTCGTGGAGGTCAATATGAGGGAGGACGACGGTGCCTTCCTTGTTTTGTGTCAATGAATCGATACGTGCGTTGGCCGCGAAAGGTCGGGGGCTCATCGACGGCTGGATCTACCCACTCGAATTAATTTGTCACTTCCACGTATTCGCGCTACGTCTCTTTCTCTCTCTCTCCCTCTTTTTTTCGTTTCGAGGCTCACTCGTCCCGATCATTTTCTCCCCCTGCTCTCCAACTCGTTCGTCGTTTTGTCTACCGGGCGTTGCGTTCTCTCTACGCCATGTTTGCCACCCTTGCCTTCGCCGGTCGCGCGCGATCCTATCGTCTCGCAACTTGGCGCATAAATCAAGATATGGTGGCGGATAAAGGCCAATTGTACCGCGTAGTCCTAGAAAATGGAGTAATTTCGTATGTGCGTCGCTCGTACCTTCGACGTCGAACTTCCCGCGACATCGATTGCCCGTAAAGATACCTGCGTGAACGTCAGCCGCCCTTTTCGGCCGGCTACTGAATTATTGAAATCGTGGATTATCGCCGACGAGGCGTTCGCACACCTTTCCTCTCGCTTTCTGTCACGATGTAAATATAATTAAGAAGCGCCGAATTATCGGAAACCGACGTCGCGCGAGTTCACTTCGCGAGTTCATAGCGGGAACAGCGACCTCCTCCGGCCGTGCTCGCGCGTGACGTTCATTTATTATACATTAAAATATTGGTCACGTTAGTTCTGCATTTTTCATACCGAGGTGAAGTCTGATCGTCGCGGGGGCTGAATTATTCATCAGGGACAAAACGGACTGTTCTTCTGAAATTTCTCCGCCGGTAGATCATACTCGTCGCCTCGTCTCCGGTTCTGACGACTAAAATCGAACCCCTCTGACGAGGGAAAGGGTGGCCATCTCGGTATCTCTCGATATTACGCAACGACGAGCGACACCCCTCGAAGAAATAATAGCTCCGCGAATATAACGGCCGTTCCCTTCCTCCTTTCCGCGGTGTGTGCATCCGTCGAGAGGAGACCCTCGACTTTAAGAGCCGCGGTGTACGAGCATCGCGTACGCCGCGTCGCCCCGAGTAAGGGTGGATAGACCGAAAAGTAGCGACGAGGTTTGGAGGTCGATAGGACGACGGACGAAATCGAAGGCGAGACCGCGAAGGGAAAGCAGCGAAAGTGAGAGCGAGTAATCGTAATCGTAAACACCCGCAGCGGCGCAGCGCGTGGGTGGTGGATGGATGAGTGAATGGGGTGGGGGAGAAAGGAGTGAAAACGGTGGCGTTCTCGGGATGAGGAGAGGGAAAGGAGGATCGGGAAGAAAGGGAAAG